ATTCTTCGGGCAATATTGTCGTTTCCCTACCCTTCGAGATGGCGAAAAAAAGTTGACATGCTGCTGGAGTTGTTCTTTCGTTTTCGCTAAGGCTTTGACCTAAAAACAAAAGGTAGACATTGCGAGGAAACAGACCATTCGTCTGAATCTGCTGAAGTGAGGGATTCATAGGAAAATTATCTGTAGTTCTGTTCTAAATTACGGACGAGTTTAGCTGGCCCTGATACGATCCAACTGTGAACAATTCCCATGACGAATGTTGCGTACGAACGTGTAGTTTTCGAACTGCATTCGTTTCGCAATGTTGTTTTTCGGCGGTGGTAAAGTAATGGCAAATGACCTCGCCTACGCAGAGTCAGAGGTCCAACCATGGACCGGATCCCCCCTCCTGGGAGGAAGGTAGGCACACACCTCCTATCAATCAGTACAACTGTAGTTTTGCCGCGTTGCCTACTGTTAGGCTGGAAAGAAAGTCTGTCACTGTTACGAATTTTTTTTCCTCCCTGCTATGAATTTTTTTCTTTGCTATTGTTGGCTAGAGCGCTCCACTTAGGGCAGGTCAGCACTCCCTCCTCCCAGAAGCGGAAAGGCTGCGGGTCGGTGTAGTCGGTGACCTCTCAACTAACGTCATCGAACTTGTTGGAAGTTTTTTCAGGCTAAGGGAGCCTTCAAGGGACGGAACAGTAGCATTGAGATGGAGCTGTTAGGAGAATGTAGTGTACTGGCATGGTCTTCAGGCCCTGCTCTAAAATTATTTGGTACTCCACAGCAGTATGGGGTCTTGCATCATCACAGACGAGGTGCCCCGAAGCTGGTTTCGGTAACTTCTCTCGGACAGTTACCGCGAGTTTCTTACCAGCCTAATATTAGGTTACACGTGCGCCAGTACGGTGCACCAGAAATGGGGAAAAATCACACCACAAAAGGGAGAAGTCAAGGACGAAAGCTCTTCCCCAGAGCAAAGATGATGTATGCTAATTCGGTTCCTCTGTGCCACTTAATGAATACTTGCTCTTCGGCAATACTGCCATAAAGCTGATTTGAGGGATTGAGAAAGGTCACCTGTCTTATAGTCGGAGTTTGAAAGAGAAAAGCTCAATGGGACTTTGAAATGAAGTGAGAGTCGTGCTTTTGCATTAACGTTTTCTGCGCCTATCGCAGTGCTTTGAAGTCAGACAAAATAAGGTTGTCCTCAGAAAAAGTTTCCGTGATGTCATCAGGATTTCATTAAAAGCAAAGCCTGCCCGATCGAGCGGCACCCCGAACTACAGGAGAGAAGGATTACTGCGCTTTCCGTATAGACGACAAAGGATGCTTGTAACTCGATTGAAAAAAAAAAGTAGAAAACAACAACCACTGCGCTTGATAGGACCATTTCGACCCAATATTGCTATGTGGTCCTAGAATAATTCACATTTCCAACACTACACCGTCTCCTCCGTACAGCTAATTCCCTACAAAGACTGCCGATAGAAGTGACGATTTCATGCTTTTTCGTCCTGCATTTTTAATCTTCACTGAAAAAACCTTCGAACGCCGAGTCTGGAGGCGATCCTGGAAAAAAAAAAGACGGCTCACCTAAACACTGTACTCGCGCGCTATAGCGTCCCCCCTTACAATTTTGTCCGCGAAACCGGTGCAGTCTCATCGCGGACCCACATCACCCTCATCTGAGACCCATATGCACTCTTACACTGATCCGACGGGTGTCCTCTCTGGGAAGCCAGTAAAAATACTCTACCTGCTCGATTAGTCTGCCTGACCAGGGTTTCGCCCGTGCAACAATATAAAACCTCGCTGGTTGAATTGCGTTTGCATGTGTAACCAGGGGGACATCTTCGAGATCGTGAGCACTGGATAGCCTGGCCTGTGGCCGGATATAGAAGTGGACTTCCGATGGTGCAAACGTTCTTCGACTCTGAAATGCAGAGATATTCATGAACTCTCCTCAGAACTGCTATTACTGGAACGGAATTTTGAACCCTCAACTCTACAACCCTGACATCGCCCTTTCCAACTACTGGATCCACCAGTGCTTCCCGCATGGACAAAATCAAGAGAGAAGTTCGGGCTGATGATGCAATTGACGACTAGTGCAAGCCCCAGACGCCTATCAGATTGGTATGACCGTAAGGAAATTCCCACTCACTGTCGTCCTTCGACTGATTGATGTTTGAGCAGCAAAAATAGTTCTGCACCGATCGCGAATATGTACAGGTGAAGCCTTTTGGGCAGACTTTTCCTGAAGTACACTGCATGGGAATGTCATTGGCGCGATACGGTAATCTTGGTGACGGGCAGAGACCTTAAATAGGTTCATTTATTTACGAGAAGTTTACTATTCGCTCAAAAGCCTCATGGTCAGCTCACTTGAGTCCAAGGTCGTGGACAAGTTTGGCTCGTTCGGGTTTGTTGATCCATCAATTGTTGGGCGAAATGAAGCCGAAAGGAGCACTGGCTTTACACTGCGAGGTTTTTTCTCACAATGATCGCCCTATAAAAGATATGTTTGGGTTGTGATTAAAGACAATACTGACGTTACAAACCTTTCGAATCGTTCCAGCAGGACAGTTACAAACTCCTTCTGTACATTCGCCTGCTCCCTTGCACTGGATCGTTATAACGCATGCTCTGCCCAGAGACACCATTGGTAGGCACTCGTTGTCGTGCAGTACTTGGTTGGAGTCGCATTCTGTACTATCAAACTGCAGTATACCTGCTGCATAGGAGACTACACATTCTCTTACCTTTCTTAGTAGTTACACAGCGTTGCTTGTCTTCAATAGTGCCCTCTGGACACTGACAGGACAAGTCTCTGCAGGATGAGCCTCCCAGGCACTGAGATGAGTGTTCGCACGATGAACCTATGAGCTGACGGGGTAAGCAGCGACCGCCCACGGATACTTCCGTTGCTTCGCACACTGAAAGCAGCTTCTGTTTAGGACGCCAAGTCTCTTAATGCAGACAGCACATATAAAAAGCCGTCTTTCTTCCACTGATTACTGGCTCTGAACTTCTTGCCTTCTCCTCCAGCGCAACAGATTTCTTCATTCCGTTTTCCCTTCACGCAGCTGAAACCATCTGGGCAATTTTGGCCTCCATTCATAGAGCAACGCTGGTGCTCGCCTGATATTCCGATGAATGCCACCTGGAAAACGTACTGAACTCTAAACACTTATCGTTTTGGACTCGGAAACATGCGGCGCTCATATGCTCATGGGAGCTTCGAATTCTAGGATTAAAATCTGATAAGAGGCACACTCGGCGATTAGTGGAGTCTCCAATGCCCTCCTCAAGAACACACCCTATCCCGGAGATGGGGAGGGCGTAGCCGCATACTTCGTTTGAAGGTTTTGGAACAAGTGTAAACATGTTTTTGCCTAGCACAAGACAAGGTGGCAGTCATGTGGAAATATTCTACGGAAGACGCATTCCAGGCCATTTTCGAATAGAGTACGCTGCCACTTCCTCTCTCTGTCTCGGGATATGCAGTATGCAGCCGTTTTCCTTGGCAGACGCGCCGGGTGTGCCAGGGACGAGAGACAGTGTTTGGCGGCGGTGGGCCAGTCCGTTCTCCTCCACCAAAACAGTCCCGAGTTACAGAGGCGACAACAAACTGGTGAAAAGAAGGCTGGCGCCACGCCAAACCCAGCTCCTCTTTTTCAGCACTCCAGAGTCTGTAGCCGCCAAACCGAGCCAGCACGCTTCTGGGTCTACCCACTGCAACGGAAGTAATCCTTCTCCTCAGCGGTTTCAAAAGGGTTCAGAAACGAAACTCAAACATATTGAATAGGCGTGATAGCTATGCCGACCAACTTCCCGGTCGTCTTAACGGGTTTCTGGATTCTCCCTTTTCAGTGTGTCGTTGCCTCTCTCGCTTTGCAGCTGATCTTTATTATCTTGTGTTCATGTCAATTGCAACAAGAAGGGCCTTATTCTCTTGTTTTCTCCTTCATTTGTGTCCTAGCAGCGGAACTTTCGTTGTTTGCTTTTACTTCACTTTTAAGCCTTTGTCCAGCAATGGGTGCGCAGGACAATCCGCAGCGCCTCTCACATGACCCCGGTGTTTCAGCTAGATCTTGCGCCTTTTTGTCATGCAAACCTTCGGTTCCGCTAGTTAATCATTACAAATGCTCGACTTGAGATAATGCAAGGCAATGGCCCAAAAGCAGGTCAGCCTAGAGGCTGTCCTGAGAAGCGCCGCAGTGCACCAAACCAGTCTCTAAGTACGAATAAAAGTGTGTAAATTTTACTGTGTGTTCTATTTACGCAGTTTTTTTTAATGTTCACTGCATCTTCCTTTTACTGATGGCTTACGCATTGGAAGAAGGACAATCGCTAGGAATTCCACAACATTGAAATTGCTTATTTTGTTGACTGAACTGGCAGAAGTAGCCAGCCGGACATGACAATTTGGCGGACGTGCAAACCTGAACGTATGTGAATGAACCCAAATAACAACTATTAAAAGTAAAATCAAATAGAAAGGAAATCACTTGAGTGGTTTGTTGCGTCGCTGCCGTCGAGAATAACGCGTACTTGCCTAGATGGGCAACCATCACTGAAATTAAGATTTGTCATCCTGAAAGACATTGAGGGTGGTGCAGTTAAAGGTCTGCAGACTGACTTTCAGAGCTGGAGATAACGGGATTTGGCCTCCGCAGCACTGTATCGTTGAGTGCGAATTGACCACTGACAGGTGAAACCGTTCGGACAGCCGTGATTTGAAGGATTGAATGGGTCGCATTTGGCGATCTTAATCAGAAATGAAAAATCAGTGGCCATACAGGCCTCACCTACAAGGTATGTCCTAAAGTTTCTTCTTTCCACTATGCTTCAAAAACACCTGCGGATGTTGTAATCCCATTTGCGCAGTGGAAAAAAAGCAGAATGTGGTCGGAATTGAATTCATACTTCAAAGATCCGTTTTTGGTGGAAATATCTTGCAAACTGTCACGTGGGCCTTCGGAATGAAATTTTGTCACGGTATGCTCTGTGAGGATCAAAGGTGAAAACTTCAAAAAGACGGACGGACGTTGCGGGTCTACCTGATTTTTTCAGTGGATCGAATCTTACCGGGGGCAATCAACCCCTTTCCTGAGTACACATTCTGGGTTCAAAAATCGTGGGTAACCGGGTTCGTCTAAGAGTTCGTTAGATCCAGTTGACTCTCCAATTAAAAAAAACGCAGTATATCCGAAGAAGAAAATTGGACCCGCTCGATTCCTGTTCTTCAATATTGGACAAAATGGCCGACTCCAAGTGTGTCCACGGTTGGAGACATTCTCCGATCACATTCCTGGCTTGAGGTCCAAATGTAAGTGGGCAAAGTTGTCACAGGTTTTCGGTCTACAGGTGGGTGCCCGACAATCAGTGTCACACTCTAATTGTAAGACCCCGGGACGGACAAGTATTTCAAGAAGCGAGGTACTCTTGATTTAAGTAAAAAAAGTTTCCACAAACATTTCAAAATTGTAAACTTTAAAAAAGCGCGCGACTATGGGCTTGCTGATCCTACCTACAGGGGCATCGAAAGATGTACTTGCAGGCAGAGTGATGACAGGGAACCGATTTGGCAGGGGGGCGTGAGCAGTAGGCCCAATTTGATGTGTCTTGAATATCGGCCATCTAAGCCGTCCCTGGAGAGTATCAACAAATTTTTCTAGTGAACCAATTTCAAAAAGGCAGGCAGGGGAAATGGTCCACACTGTATAAGGCTGCCGTATTCAACTGCAAGCAGTGGCGAGCAGAGCGGTAGTTTTGCCACAAAATTCGCACTCTCACATTTCCTTTACTCATTTTTGTCCATGTAAACAATTTCGCCCGGAGGACATCCATCGGAGACACCCAGATGGGTTTGACCTCTGCAAAAGCGGTTTTGGAAAAAGAAATAAAGAGGGTTCAAGAGAAAGCTAACCGGCAGCAGTAACCATTGGCACCTTCGACCTGCGTCATACAGGTGAATCCTGAGGGGCAAGTGACGAAATGGCCAACTGAGCAAGATCGCGGCATGGCCGACGCCTCATCCAGAAAATATTCCTCCTTGTTGGGACAAATATCTGAAGGGTTCAAGGTGGGTTTTGAGCGCGGGATAACACCTGGTGCTTACCTGAGACGGAACAGCAGTACCCTTGGAGGGCATCGCGAACATCACTTTGGCATTCAAAACCGTCCGGGCAAGTGGAGACATGGGCAATTCATCGTGCAACGCGCAACTCGGCCTGTAGACTCATCTGATCCTTATAAGGAGCTCGACCAGGAGGGCAGTGATCTGAATGGGCATTTCTGGGATGTAACCTTAATAATAGGCTGAAGCACCTACTGCGCTTGGTGGATCCGCAACAAAAGTAGCGATTCTTTGTCGGATTGAAACGGCAGAGATAATTCGTGGGACAGGAGTTCGGCTCGTTGATCAAACACTCCCGGACGGTCATGTCAACCGCATTCAAAAAAGCCTGAAGGGTAGTGGCTTTCAGAAAAAAAAATGTGTATTGTGGTCAACGGAAATCGAATCAAACTTGCCTTCTCGCCATCTGGACACACTCCCATGTCGGTAGCTCCACAACACACATTGCTGTCAGTGAGGCTGTCGAAGGTACACTGCAACAGTACTGTCACTCTGCTAAAATGGATGACAAGGAACACCACTATTTGGAGTTATATCTTCAGAATGGTGGATTCAACCCTCAAGTTCCAGGATTAACAGAATCATCTCGCACTGGTTTTAGAGATTTGGCTTGTAACTGAAATTATCGAGCTTACTTGGAAATTCTTTGGGCAGTTGTTCTGAATCTCATCGTTGCAGGAGATCGGCGTCTGGCTGTTTGGATTAAGATATACCACATCACCTGCCTTGCATGCTAAAGTTTATATTAAAAACTTCAATAAAGACACTCTTCGCCTTCGTTTGATATTCAGACGCCTCTGGACATGCTAGTCCTTCCCGCAAGCATAGAACGCAACTCAAAAACACGTGAGGAAAGAGCGACCCGTCGCCGGCAAAGCCATGGTACCGCCCACTGGCCACAGCAACGCCTAACTTTCAGTTCTAAAGGTACCCTAGTAGGGTTTTCCGCTACTTGGTATCTGTATTCGGGATTATAATAGTGAGGAGATAAGGAAGGGACTGTCAACGAGTGAGACCCAGTGCGCATCGTTGGTGTGGAATCCCTACATGGAGGGTCGTATTTGAGCTGAAAAAAATTTATTTTGATAGTTGTTTTTTCTCCGCTTCTTGTAAGAGGGGTATTCACTATCTGGCCTTTCTAGGAGTGGGTGCGAGTGGGTGGACTTTTCGTGGGGCTTTTTTGTTTCATATGCGCGAGCTACATACCGGCCCGCCCCCGCTCTCGTCCTCCCCCGCCGCGCTCAACACTTGCATTCGATGAGGACGGATTAGAGGGCCTGAGGGGCGGGGATCGTAAGCCGGAGCTCGCCGGTAAACGCCGCAACCAATGATGTGCCCCTGGTGAGACACTCGTCCGACCGCAACGTTTCGTCGCCTTATGCTCGTGCCAACGCGATACGGCATGGCACGTGAGACATGAAGCATTTAGTGCTTATTTGTCTGTTTTTTTTTCTTTTTTTCTTGTTCTTCCGTCTTTTCATTAGTGATTGACTCTGCTCCACATGCAGACGCATTTTTGGCGCTGGGTGGCCTGCGACCCCGATTCACTTTCTCTTTTCACAGGCTGAGATCGATGTATCGATTGTTAGTGCTCATTCATCAAAACTGAAACTCGTGCTGCCAGTTCAACTTTTTCTGGCCTATTCCTCATGAATGGGAGTAAAATGCGCCAAAAGCAGGGTCAGTACCAAATCGCGGACTGGCAAGCCAAAATCCAGCAGTTCTTCTAGAGCAGTCGGGGCAGGTAAAACACTGTTTTGCAATGTGCAGTTCTAGTAATATGAAAAAAAAAACTCTGTGCGGCCATGAGGGAGCTTGACTGGAGCAAGAGCTGTTATGAACACTATGCCTAACACGGGAATAAAAACGTGACAATTCACCGCTGCTCGTATGAGCGGAATCAGGCATACAATTCTGCGCCCCTCACTGGTGTATGTGTGTCTGTTTCCCAAGACGGTAACGAGGAGAACGTCCTAGTGTAAGGTTCAAAAGTAAGCCTAACTTTGCCTTACGAACAGCCACGAGTGTCTTTCAGAGGAGCGGTCCGCATTGGGCTACGAAAGTGTAAAAGATTGTGTGGGAAGGATGGTGTTTATCAATGAGCAATCTTGTTACAGTTTCGCGACTTAGGCTTTTATGGTAACGAGATGGAACGCAAAAGTTGGCTCAGTGTACCTGCTTTTTTTGCCAGTGACTCTGCACCCAGACTTCGCCTTCAAAGTCTCCCTTCCAGCCAAAACTACTTAAACTACAATCCAAACTTGCTACCGAAAAAAAGGCATAAACAGATGCTCAATTGTCACTTGTGGGGTGATAGAGCTGATCACAAGGAATCCGCCGACTGGACTCGTCCCGACATGCGCTCTTTTGGCCTCTCATCCGTACGATTGTTCGAGGCTGAAGGCGCTCCCAACGTTCCCTTTGGCGTCATAAAGCTCTCGGAAGTAGGCAAGCTTCAGTATTCCGAGATTTTAAGAATTTTCGATCCAAATGGATAAGTCCCAAATGCTCCCGTTATAACTCTGTCGTCGCCATGCTTGCGACTACTTGGAAGATGTGAATTCTCCCGTACTTTTGACGATTCCTCAAATGAAACACTACCAGAAGCCGTGCAGAAATTGTTGCACTGATTTAGCGACGCAAAATTGTTCGGATTCCCGTCGCATCCATTGAAGCAAAAAAGGAAGAGCACTTTCTTTGTGACGATTTGTTGAAGTAATATCTAAAAAGATCGCCATTGCCGTCTTTTCTTTTTAAATTGAATGACAAAAGGAGTTCTTACCGAGTTACACTGTAGACACCTCCTGAGCACAGCGAAGATCCTTGTTGCGGCGGAAGTGCGCAGATGTAGGCTGAACAGTTAGGTAGGACTATCTCGAAGATCCGGGAATCGTTTAATACCTACATTTGGTAGGGCAGCAACGATGGGATACCGTTGGTCAGTCTAGCGACGGCGTAGCATTCATGCGTGACGGAGCAGCCACGGAACTCTCGAGCACGTCTGTAGATCCTGAGGCTATCACGTAGAGGCACGCCCACCATTGCAGCAACCTTGAAGCGTATTGCATTTCCACAATTTTGAGTAAGGCATTTGGGTTCTATTGCAAGTTTTTCCGAGAAGTTAGAATGGGCCAGAAATTGCAAAGATTTACTGAAATGAAGTTTCACAGTCGAGCCAAGTAATTGAAATCATTCGTAACATGACTGCACCTCCGACTCCACAATAACTTTCGCATTCTTGTCTTGTAGCGAAATTATTCGAATTGCCATCACAGCCCAGGTACTGTAATCAAACGATTCGCGAACTCCCTAGAAAGGAAATATTGATTACATTTTCGATTTGTAAGTTTTCAAGTATTTCTTCACCGGAGAACACAGGCGCCGAAGTACGGCAAATATCAAGAAGCGAGAAGTTACGGCAAAGAAGGCTGTGGCTGCTACAAAACCCACTCACTTCGAAGATATCAGCAAGAAGCTGGAAACGCGCGATGGCGATGGTACATCTACAATCTTGGGCCAAGGCTCGCCAGACAAAGATGTAGAGAAGTTCTTTGGCATCAATGACGAGAAGGGCCGCCTTCTGATGGACCGAACAAAGGTGCTGAGGCGATGGCGCGACTACTTCGGAGAAATTTCCGTAAGTGAATATGACAACCGCCATCCCCTGCGCCTTACTCAAACATACGGTTCGCGTTCCAAAGAAAGTAAGCGTGTAAGGAAACGGAGTGTTTCAAAGAAAGCTGAGGTCAGGCAATGCAAACCGGGCCCTGAGGACGTGGGCAGTATTAAGTACACTGCTGGCATGCTGCAGAATTCGATAATGTTTTTCAATCAGGTCGTTGCAGAGAAGAAAATGGCCGAAATATGGCAAGAGAGCATGACTGTACTGATCTGGAAGAAAGAAGGCAGTCCTGCACTCCTCAAAATATCATTCAGTTCGCTTGCTCTGAAAATTTGACCCACAACTGAAAACATTGCGTGTGTTAACGGAAGCCATCAAATGTCAGGTGTCTAATAATGTGCGAAAGGTCATCCGCTCTAAACTAATTTGCCTGTAGCAGAGTTCGGGAGTACTTCTGTAATCCAGTAGTATGTAGAATCTGACTTCTTTACACCTTGAAGACCGCTTTCCCATTCGAGCTCGTGTTTCAGAAGTTGTGAGTGTAATTTTAATTCTCCAAACTCTTTTATTTTACATTCCATTCATCGTTTTATATTGAATGAGCTGGAAATGATGATGAGAGGTCACCAGCCAGTGCAGCCAATTAAGTGAGGTCATCCCACAGGCGATCTCACACGTCTCCCCACAGGCGAGGATGGGAAGGTGCTAAATGAGGTGCTAAATGAGGTCAGCCTAACTAAATTGACATTCCCCATTCGCTGTCGCATAGCATGAAAAATTTTTGAGCGACTTGTTTTGGCATAAGCGATATTGTCTAGTTCTCTACAATCAGTGTGACTTTTCGTGAGCTGCTGTAGCACCACCGCCGACGCGCATACATGCGCGTCTTGCTCTTGCTAGAGAAACAAATGTGAAAAGAAGAAGGCATGTACACCTAGCCTCCCTTGTTCTGGGGAAGGCATTCGACCAGGTGAAGTTATATGGTATGCCTTACGGCAGCACGGCGTTCCCGAAGAGCTGATTGAGTGGGTACGCATCCTGTACTTCAGCCCGACGAGTCGAGTGCGAAGTCCAGCAGGCATTTCGATGGGGTTCCCCATCACAGTTGGGGTGCACCAAGGCTTAGGCGCTTTCCCCGATGCTCTTCGTTGTCGTCATGAACGCCATTCCTTGGGACCTCCAGAAGCCGGCCCTTGGACGCTTGTCTACGCTAACGATGTGATGCTCGCCTGCGAGGATAAGAATGGTCTCGAGGAACAAGTGCAAGCTCGGTCTGAACGGTTAGCGAACTTGGGACCCAGATTAAACGTCAAAGAAAACCGAGTTAGGCCTGACAACTGACCCGAAACGAAAAGTTCCCCCCCCGGTTTCCTTTAGGTCAAGCGGCAGTGTGCTCACAGCGAACAGGACAAACGTTCAAATACCTCGATCAACAATTATCACACCTGACGTAAGTCTCGAGCTGCAGAAGTGAGCGCGGCCGTGTGATGCTGGCGGCCGTGGTGCTAAGTGCGGTCTATGACTCGTGCGTCTTTCTCTGCGACAAAGGCGCCGACCAGATCACCTCAACTCGAAGATACTAGGAACGGCGTTCGTTTCAACCTAGTCGCGATATATGGAGCTGAATGTTGGCCTACGACCAGAGAAGTTGAAGCGCGCCTAGGAGTCATGGAGATGAAAATGTTGCGATGGACCGCCGGTGTCACGCGTATGGATCGCATACGCAATGACGACATAAGGAAGAAATTCGGTGTAGCTCCCGTGGCCGAGAAAATGCGCGAAGCTCGCCTTCGATGGTATGGTCATGTTCTTCGCGCGAATTATGACACCGTCCGTAGATTGGTTAGGATCCCGGAAAGCGGCCTAAAGGACGCCACAAGCAGCGCTGGTCAGACACGCTGCATGCGCACTTAAGTGGTTGGCACCCACCCGAAAAAGCGTTTAATCGGTGAGAAGTGGCGTGACAAAAATACATGCAAGCGGACCCTGCTCAGAGGCGGGGCCAATGGCTGAGAAGAAGAGCGATATAGGGGCCCGAAAGGAAGAGGTGAAATGCTGTGAAGTGGTTTGGAGAGTTTATGAAAGTTCAAAGTCTTTAAGGAAGACTTTGCGATAAGTCAGCTAAAAATGTGAAGGTTCCAGGGTTAGAAGCAGAAGAAAAGTTGTATGTGGCTAGTTGGCTAGCCCATGAAAAAAAGGGGAGGAAGTTGTCGAAAGTGGTCCCGATAGGCCCCTGATTATGCCAAGTGAGCCACGATTCGATGTGGATATCGGGCGAAAGGCTACGCAAAGCAGCGTGCACAAAAACGGTCGATCGAAGACAACCATGAGACATCTGAGTGGGCAGAGCAATGTCTAACGTGACACTTTATCGATCTTAAAACGTCTAATCTAGTATCTGCTAGCGTCTACCAGCGTCTGCCAGCGTTCACTAGCAACGGGGAGTAGAGAGTATGGGGAAGTAGGAAGGAGCAAACAGCTGGATCAGGCGTCGTAGAACTGTGGCGTGTGCAACCGCACCGTGCAACACACTATACCGACATCAAAACGCATAACACTGTGCTTTAGCAGTTGTGCGGTGCGGCTGCACCCGCCGCAATTTTGTGACGCCTAATCCAGCTGTCTGCTACCCTCCTACTTCCCCATACTTCCTACTCCCGGTGGCTGGTAGATACGCTGGTAGACGCTAGTGAACGCTGCATCGATTTCAATTCTTTCCTAATTGCTGGAGGCGCCGAACGCTAAGAAAGCTAGTGGACGCTGGGAGGCGCTAGATCGATACCTATTCTTCCCCAGACCCTCGAGAACCGCTGGTAGTCGTCACTGTACGTCGTCGACGGCTTTTAGACGCTGGAGGCGTCTAGATCGATACTTCCTTTGCTGACGCCCGACACTCGGACGCACAGGTGCTAGATTTGCTGGTGGACGCTGCGCAGGGTATGACACAGCCTAAGTGACGTGGCTCTGTCTCTAAGGGATTCCTCGAAACTGCAATATTGCCCTCAGTGTGTCAGCGTTAGTGATGAGACCTTGTCAAAAAGCGTGCTCTTCAACACTCACAGTCAGAAAATATTTGGCGAATCGTGACAAATGCAGCTACAACTACGAGTTTTAAATCAGCACGACAGAGATGTTAAACTTTGGCCGACCTGTGTTTGGGCATTGTAGTAGAACTTGAACGAGACACCTGGCCCACAGGTCTTCCCCGGATTTGACATCAGCGAGCACGTAAAAGCTGGAATGGGTCTGTTCTTCATTGAAGTAAGCTAGTGAATTTGGATTTGCCAATAACCTTTTGTGGGGCAACAGCCGAACATGTTGCCATCGTGATAGCACTCGTAGTTGACTGGACCAAGCGATGAAAGCAGCGCGGTTTGGTTTGAACAGGTGACAAACTTACCCGAACTGTCTTTATAGGCTTGGCCCTGTAGACATCGGGGTTCAGCTGAAATGTTTCAGATTGAGTGAAAGGAGCAGCTATCATGTAGGCCTGCTTGAAAAGGAGCACTGTCATGTAGCCACAAATTCATTTTTTAAAGGCGCACTAATGGATATACTTACGTGCCGCATTTCTGCAAAAAGTCTGACAATCGACTAAGGTTTCAAAGTTGTTATCGTTCCCTTGACATCCTAAAAACCTTATCTGAACGAGTCCTGGGAGCAGGGAATCCTTCCGTGAAAATACCTGTGTATTCGAAAGGACTGGCACTCTCTTGTAGGCTGCCGAATACCAGTATCTTCTCACGGACCGATCACAGTTCCCCACACGTAGTGGTTGAGTACAGATCGTCTCTGTAATCGCACTTGAATATGATTGGACTTGTTCCCTCTTAACCTCGAATACGACGGATAAGTGGGCCTGGAAGCTATAAATGACTACGCATTCGTGGGCAGCAAACAGACTGATCAACTCTGCACTCATGAGATGAAGGACAATCGCTGTTCGACTGGCACGATTGGGTGAGGTCTCCGATACGTAGAGGGTTGCCACGATCACACTGTACTGAAAAATTCAAGTGCTTGGACAACATAAACGCGGGATTTTCAGGAAGAAGGAAGCCCATTGTTGAGACTAGGGCAATGAAATCCCGTGCGTCACAGTTCCAAAGCCACTTTTATGTATCTATGAACTTTTATCCTTTCCATCTATGAATTTCATGTTCTGCCAAAGTAAGAAAAATGTCATTTTGACAAAACGAAAAAAAAAAAAAACATAACTCATCCGAGATCGTGGATCTTCTTGAAATAAATACAAGTCTCAGTGGAATATACGCAGTTTACACGCTAAGAAAAGATATAGGGGGTTGGGATGGGACATTATTGGCGGGCGACAGGAAGGGGACAGGTGCTATGAGGTGAAAGTAAAAAGCTGACATGGAAAAATCAGCTACACTACTCACAAAACATTGCATCGATATAACCCCTGTATCACGATCTCAGTCATTTCAACACAATTTATTCCTCACTGCTTACCAAGGACGACATCATGTACGACCGCCAAGCTAGCTCGATTCCAAATGCATGGCGGTTGTTTACAGAGATGTGTTAACATCAACGATAGATTTAATCACTTACTTAACCATAAGCTCTCTTATGCAACACCAACCGTAGAGACCATTTAAAGCGTAAGAGACCATTCGAAGCCCGTTCCAGCGTTCAACCGCTGAATGCAGAAGTGCATCGGGATTAGAGAATGCATGAAGCAGTAGGATCCTTCTGCGCTTAACCTGACAGGCTGCTGTATTCGTGTATGAAGCGTATCAGTTAGGCTGTTAAGACCCACCCCAACCTCTTTTTGTGATGCGCGGGAAACTGCTGCTGTGCTTCTGTGTCTTTGCAAGAACGCTTGGCTCTCCTGATTGCGCTGCTAGTTTTCAGGCTGAATGCAGAACAATGTCCTAACGTATGGTTGGTTCGAGATTCGAATGCTAACACGGCGGAAGCATTCGCGTCAAGCCCGGCGAAGCCTGGCTAATGTGCCATGAGGAGAGAGCGCTCGGCGACCGCTGGGGTCGATCCGACTGGTAAGAGGATAACACTTTTCAAACAGTTACCGCAATTATAATGCACGACATGCGGTTACTATGCTTAAAACTAAATGCAGGGCCGAAAGAGATTTCCGAGCTAATATTTCACCATGGCAAGCCCTCAATCAAAACCAGCATTCGCAACGGACTGCCTGCCCCGCCTGACAGGTCCCCATAAAGTGCAGCGTACTCGCGACGGGTTAAAGTTCAAGGCGAAGGAAAAACAAAACAGACGTAAAGGGAATTCACTGAAAAAGATGGAAGCTTGCCCATCACAGAGGGCTTAGGACCATGGACCATGCAAAGGGAGTAACAAAAAGCTACCCGCACGTGGAGGGCACCACATGAACCCATTTCGCAGGCGGTAGTGAAGCAAACAGGCGGCCTGAGCCCCATGCAATCTTTTTGTCTTCGGAATCAGCATCGGTCATCGGACCCTGTGGGATCCTGTAGAATCCCAGTTCCCTTGACGTATAACGGAAAGAAGTCCTGAGGACATGCATACCCCATGCCTCACTGCCCCTCCTCAATAAATCCTGTCAAAAAACGGACAATGAACGGCAGCTAACCCCAAGCTGGTTATAAAAAAATTTACAGGGGGGTTAGCAAAAAAAGTCACTACAAAAGTCCAAGTCCATAAAAAGGTCGAGTCCACGTATTATGCAAAGTTTTCGCTGCCCAGACAGCAGACGGCGGATACGAGTACCAGGGCGGACGATTACCACAAAGATTGTTTTCCTTCTATAAGCAGGAAGCTTGGCATGCAACCGTTCATGTACACCCAATGAAAGTCATCTGCCAGTCGCAAAGCCCTGACTGGAAGAAGACACTTTCGGAATTCATGCCAACTCAAAAGACAGCTGTCGAAACGCTTAATGTGGAGTCACCTGATAGCTACCTGGAGACCAGTACTCTCGATCTGGATGACCTCCAACATCGAGCAGCTCCGACAACGTCGCCACGGTCTAGGACATCATCTTCACCGCAGTCGCCAAGGCGCGGGTTGATGGTATGGACCGGACGTACCTGGAATGGAAAGACCAATATTTTCTTCGTGGACCCGGACTGAAGGTGAGCGCTGGCGGTTACATTGAGCAACTCGTGAAGAATATCCTCCTCACATGTCGTCGCCCGTACCTTCTTGGAAACTTTGTACTGCTACAGCATTGGGTGCCACCACATGGAATCGAAGGGCATTGGAGAAACTCTCGCCTACTTGGAATGGAAGGGGGCTGAATACCTAAAGAAGGTGGAATATCCAAGTAGGTCACCTGACCTGAATCCCCTCAATTACCCGGTTCGGGCGGAGTTCAATAGGGTGGTCTACGGTGGCGGAGAAATCGACTATCTCGCTGATCTCAGGCACCACATCGCGGTCGCGTGCCAGAATCTCTCGATGGCGCTCGTCCAGAAGGCTGTGTGTGAGTGTCAATGATAGTATTTAATATGCTCTTTAATATGGTGGTAAAAATGTCCGATCAGAATTCAATAAAGTGTAACTTATAGCGCCTCGAAAGTCAATGAAGGAAAGTGACTTTTTTTGGCCCTCCCTGTATAATTTGGCTGATTATGTCTGTCCGTGTGTGTCTGTCACGAAATTCATAGCGACCGTCCCAGTAGCTGTGGGAAGTTGATTGCAAGGCGTTATAGAGGGTATGGGACAGGAACATTATTGGTGAGAGACAGGAAGTGATATCAGCTGATAATCTTTGATAAGAGGCGTCAGAAGGGGAAAGTCACCGAGTTCATAGCACGGATCAACCGTGTCAGCAATAGTGTGACAATAGTTCCAAGACATGATATTGGGTGTGGCACAGGAAAATTATTGGTGGGTGACAAGAACTGCTAGCAGCTGATTAGAGTTGATAAGGAGAGTGGGCGAGGCACACCATATCATAGCGCGGGAACACGGTGTCAGAAAGCATAGGCTTGATTTACAGCAAGTTGATATAGAGGGGGGGGGGACGTCGGTGGGTGAAGGAAGGTGAATGACAACTGATAAGGGCCTGATAAGGGAACGTTGCCGTGGTTGGGGGAAGGGCGGGGAGTAGGGGAGGTATGTAGTATGTGAAACAGGAAAACTCTTAGGAAAAATCAAGTGACGCGATACCTGGGTACTGTAAATAGCGCAAAAAAAAACTTAGTGCACGCCTTTTTTTCTCACTTTTTAACTTTTAAATTACTGAAGCCAACTGTGGGAACGAATAATGAGGTAGTATGGAACCAGCTTGCAACTAACGTAGCTCAAATATTAACACCTGCAAACGGCGACTTCAGCGAGTGGAATAGATGGTAACGGAAAAGGTAAGCGCTCATTGGTAGGCATTTTGATGCAGGTAATAGGAACGGATTTCGCTCCTCTACTGAGCGATTCATATTGCGCTCTATTGTCGACTTCGTACTTTCTATCTATTTCCACAGGTTCTATGTATAGCGGGGCGTTATTGCAAAACCGTCACCCTCCTGCAAATATGAGCGTGGACTCAGTGGTGCTGATTTCGCTGGGTTACTCTATCTATTACATACGATTCGATCAACATAGAGTAATATGAGCAGCTCAGTGATGGAACAAATCCCGTTCCCATTACTACAAATGTTATTTACCTACCAGTCGGATCGCCCGGCTAACGCCTGACTCGGCAATCTTCCTTCTCTTTTTAGCTCCGAACCTCGCCGAGCTTGGCCTGGCTTCGCCAGGCTTGTCCTATAATTTTACCGGATGTTTCAATAGTGGGCTGCTCATAGTGCTCATCACGGCGATGTAGTGAATCGATGCAGTGGATAGAGCAAGGCTTGGGATGCGTGGTTGCACTACTTAGCACAGGCTTCTATTTGAAGCAGGGGTGTGGTCTGCGCGCCATTACGCCCATACAATACATAAATCTGTAGATATAGATACAATGTGTAGTCGGCCAATACAGGGCAGTTTGAATCGCTCAGTAAAAGAGCAGATTTCGTTCCCATTAATTGCAATAAAATGCCTACCGATGTACGTTTCCCTTTTCGATTAGCACGCAATCCGCTCGCTTAAGTATAACTATTAAAATGTACTTATGAGCCTTGTGTCACATTAATCAGGTTTTTCGGTTCTCCTCGAATTTCCCTGAGATTCCTGTTTCGGACAAAGTACATACCTTCCCCTTCCGCTCTTCCCCCTCGTCGCATCCATAAGTGGAATGAGTTCATTTTCTAGCGCTATCATAGAAGTGATGGCTAAAGGAAAATTTTGCACACTGAGCCTTCAATACTTGGCAGTATAGTGATAAGAGATGTAATAAGAACGGCCCCTTAATCTTTTTTTATCTTTCTTATCAATTGATAAGATTGCCTGTCACCCGTCAACAATGTCCCTATCACTACTACTCTATAATTTGGTAGTGTAAAGGCTCCATCACTTTGACTGAGCAACAACGCATACGGTTCCTTATCAGGCCGGCTGTCACTGTTATCACCTCTGTCACCTGCCATCGATGTCCCATCCCCCACTCTACATCATTTTCTGAAATCAACGCCTAGCTGATGCTGTGTCCTGCGTTATGAGTATGGTGACCTTACCGTTCTAACTCCCCTATCAAATCTTATCAGCTGATATCACTCCCTGTCACCCATCAATAATGTTCCTGTCCCACACCCTACAACATACCTTGGAATCAACTTCCCACTGTTGCTGTGTCCCGCACTAGGACTCGGTGACCCCTCCCTTCAGACGCCTCTTATCGGATCTTATCAGCTGTTATCACTTCCTGTCACCCACCAGTAACGTTCTCATCACAGCCCGTATATCATTCCTCGGAATCAACTTCTCACAGGTGCTGGGACGGGCTCTATGAATGTTGTGAACACACAGACACACAAACATACTTAACGGATTATATATAGTAGGATAGTTGCTTCCGAAAGACTTGCATCCATAAAGTTCAGTATTATGCGTTGTTTGTTAGTGATAGTAAACTGCTGTATTTACACAGGACTTGGAAGCAGTCCCACAG